ACCAGAGGGTATTTTTTGTGGACTATCAAAGATTGACTATGGTGATGGTGATGGTGATGATGATGGTGATGGTGGTGATGATGATGATGGCGGTGATGACGATGGCGGTGATGATGATGGTGATTTTCATGTCTACGAAGTCTACTATTAACCTCATCTATTCTATGGCTATCTCCGATTAAACCCTCCCATGGCCAGCCATAGGCAAGGATGTCCAGCTGCCTCAAGTCCAGGCGGGAGATGGTGGGATGGTGGATTACATGTTTTGTTTTGTTTGATGAGTCTCATATGGTTTCTGTGGTTCTTTCTTCCGAGCTTTTTCTTTGAAAGAATACAAAAACCACCCAGGATTTAACCCATAGAATTTTCATGATTTACGGCGAGTTTTACACAGAACAAAACTGATAAAAGAACACAAGAAAATGGAGATCGAAACATCAACCAATCTGCGTAGTGAACACTTCTCCGATCCAGGCTTTACTTTATGATTTTTTAGAGGCTACCCAGTTGCGACCCAGTTCCCCAGAAACCGTTGGTCCGTTTTTTTTCCGTTGGAATCTGCTGGATTTTTCAGAAATAACCACTGAGAATCAGTAGATTCAGATGGATTTTCTCAGGATTGAGGACATCTTCATCTGATTCCTGGATTCACCTAATTAATTTTGGAATCTTGGAGCTAGAGCCAAAGACATCAGGTGCAGTGCCGGATGTCCCTGAGGTGCAGTGCCGGTTCAAACGGGATAAACGTGGGAGATATTTCATCATTGGTGCATGGAGAATAATTTTTATGGGACATGGGAGTAATCATGGGACTTACAATTCGAGATATTTTTCAGTTCAGAATAACGGGATAATCATGTGATAATAATTGATATTATGGGATAATCCACCAGTCAAAAACTTTTTTTTTGGGTGTGTAAAGGTGTGTACCCCCAATATCCCCCCAATTGTATGGCTATTTGCAAACGGATGCTTACAGTAGATGGAGGGGCATCTCATTTTCAGAAAAACCCAACTTGTAATTCGACGCGCAAAAATCGCCATTTCAAGCCATCAACCGTGATTTTACACGATAGATTCCGTGATTTATCGGAATTTGTCAGGAAACGCCACCGGTTTTTGATTCTGAACCATCTTACTTTGTTGGGGTTTCCTCCCTTCATTCAGGGGTTGATGCTACAGAATCCCAGGCATAGCCTTAGCACATCTTAGCACCGCTCCACAGTGGAAGAGAGAAGAGCTGCAATCGGGTACTGTGGATAGTTTGGACAACCCATCCTATAGTATACTGCGTATAGTTTTTCCTTCCCATGGTTTTTTGAGCGTGCGCGTCTGGCTCAACGGTCAGATGGTCCTGACTCAGCTACCAGCTGGCACTGGTAGGAGTGGAGCCGGACAAGCGATGCCTTGATGTACTTTTGATGATTGAAGTTGAGCTAGTTGAGCTCGATGAGTAAAGTATAGTGAGGTATGCCTGCAATTTAAGTTGTCGTTGGATGTCTTGAAACACTTTCTGACTTCTGACCACTGGTCTTTTCAGGGACCAGCGGAGACAGATTCAAAGTGATCCCGCCCTCTGAAGGCCCTTGGTACTTCGAACCAAGCGGATGAGGTGGGGACATCCCGCGAGATTTTTCGGGTGCAACGGAAAGGGATGGGATGGTTGGGTGGTTGGGTGGGTATGTGCCAAGATTGCGAGTGCTGAACCATCCTCAACATTGAAGCTACAATGCTACAAGAAGCATAAATCCCCCAAAATCCCAAAGCAAGCAAGGTGGAAACTCACACAATGCCATTAACAACTACCAGTTGGGAAAGATTTAAATTAACATATTACTAACATATACTAACCATTTAATTTGGGGAGACATCTGCTGGCTCTTCAGCTCTCCATTTGGGTGTGTCTGAAGATGGTGTTTCCACCCAAATGGCAATTTAATAGGGAACCTGATGATAAAGCATCAACATTTTTGGGTACCCTATCGACAGACCCACATGAATGAAAAGGTGGGATTTACAATTTGCAGCTTAGATTGCCAGAGGAATTTGTAGGAGGTGAGTTTGGTGGCAAACGACCGAAGCGATTGGATTCTCAAGTGCTTGTATCAGTTAGTTGAGCTCGATGAGTAAAGTATAGTGAGGTATGCCTGCAAGTTACCCTCTGGTTATTTAACATAGCCATGGTATAGATGGCCCATAGAAATAGATGGTTTACAGCTTTTACCTATTATAAATGGTGATTTTCCATGGCGAACTGTGAATGTCATAACCAGATGGTAAGTTGTCGTTGGATGTCTTGAACCACTTTCTGACTTCTGACCACTGGTCTTTTCAGAAGGGAGCGGAGACAGATTCAAAGTGATCCCGCCCTCTGAAGGCCCTTGGTACTTCGAACCAAGCGGATGAGGTGGGGACATCCCGCGAGATTTTTCGGGTGCAACGGAAAGGGATGGGATGGTTGGGTGGTTGGGTGGGTATGTGCCAAGATTGCGAGTGCTGAACCATCCTCAACATTGAAGCTACAATGCTACAAGAAGCATAAATCCCCCAAAATCCCAAAGCAAGCAAGGTGGAAACTCACACAATGCCATTAACAACTACCAGTTGGGAAAGATTTAAATTAACATATTACTAACATATACTAACCATTTAATTTGGGGAGACATCTGCTGGCTCTTCAGCTCTCCATTTGGGTGTGTCTGAAGATGGTGTTTCCACCCAAATGGCAATTTAATAGGGAAACTGATGATAAAGCATCAACATTTTTGGGTACCCTATCGACAGACCCACATGAATGAAAAGGTGGGATTTACAATTTGCAGCTTAGATTGCCAGAGGAATTTGTAGGAGGTGAGTTTGGTGGCAAACGACCGAAGCGATTGGATTCTCAAGTGCTTGTATCAGTTAGTTGAGCTCGATGAGTAAAGTATAGTGAGGTATGCCTGCAAGTTACCCTCTGGTTATTTAACATAGCCATGGTATAGATGGCCCATAGAAATAGATGGTTTACAGCTTTTACCTATTATAAATGGTGATTTTCCATGGCGAAGTTAGTCATAACCGGTAAGTTGTCGTTGGATGTCTTGAACCACTTTCTGACTTCTAACCACTGGTCTTTTCAGACGGGAGCGGAGACAGATTCAAAGTGATCCCGCCCTCTGAAGGCCCTTGGTACTTCGAACCAAGCGGATGAGGTGCGGACATCCCGCGAGATTTTTCGGGTGCAACGGAAAGGGATGGGATGGTTGGGTGGTTTGGTGGGTATGTGTCAAGATTGCGAGCCATAGATGGCCCATAGAAATAGATGGTTTACCTATTAATAGCATGGTGATTTTCCATGGCGAACTGTGAATGTCATAACCAGATGGATTATAAATGGTGATTTTCCATGGCGAACTGTTAGTCATAGATGGTAAGTTGTTGTTGGATGTCTTGAAACACTTTCTGACCACTGGTCTTTTCAGGGAACACAGGAGACAGATTCAAAGTGATCCCGCCCTCTGAAGGCCCTTGGTACTTCGAACCAAGCGGATGAGGTGGGGTATCAACTGGATTTCTTCCATCCACCGTAGGTTTTCCCAGTGAAATTTGGAGATGTTGGGGAAACGGACGCCTTGACATCGGAGGCTTCCGCCACGACAGAGGTTGAGGCACACTGGAATCATGGTTAGGATTCGGGACATCATCCCAATAGTTGGCCGAACTATTCAGATGAGTGAAATATGATCATTTACCCAGCATCTATACATAGCTGTTCCAACATATTCCAATTTTGTATTGTTGTGAAGAAACACAGGGAAAGCCAATGGTTGGTTTGCAAGTCCATGGTTGAGACGGCGAGATGTATCTATAAAATTGTATATAAACATTTTTTTTTTAAACGACCCTTTATGATGTTTTTGTATTATACACATGAAGCAATTCAGCCTATTGGTGGTTGAACCTTGCAATGTAGATTTGAAACGGTGGTTCTGCATTCAGGTCTGTGAACGTCTTTATCCATACCTTGGGCATGGGGTGATATTTCCTACATTTTCTCATAAAAAAGTGACATGGTGATGGTGATGACTGTGGTGAACCAAACAACAACTCCTGGTTGGTGGTTTGGAACATGAATTTTTATTTTTCCATATATTGGGAATAATCATCCCAACTGACTTTCATATTCTTCAGAGGGGTTGAAACCACCAACCAGACTCCCATGTTTGATGAACGCGAAAGCCGACACGATAAGTTGGTAGGTAGTTCCAGGATTTTCCCACGTTTGCTGACGCCGGAGGGAAATCCTATCCAATCAATCCCATATGAATTCCATATAATCTCATATAATCCCCATATAATCCATATGGTTTTGTTGGTTTTTTTCCACCCAGCGGTTTTGACTCCGCTTGGATCAAAGGCCGTCGGGCTCAGAACTTACGGGGCGCAGAATCCCCAGATGGAAGTCATCACAAAATTCCGGGATGACTACCCTCTGGTAAACATGCAAAAAACTATGGAACACCACCGAACTCATAGGTAAATCACCGAACTAAATGGGCCATCTTCAATTACCGGAGGGTACTTTTCTATCGTTTTTGGATGACTTTTTTGGCCCTCTTGAACTGATAGATAACACTAGCGACACCACGAATACCAAAGAGCTCATCTCATTCAATCCAAATTAGGTTTGTGATAATTCTCACCAACAATAACTTTGAGAAATCCATATATATATATATTATATTATATATATATATTATATATATTATATATATATATATATATATTGTATATAAATTTACATATTTCCCTATGATGCTTGAAAACACCATGTTTGCAGCAAGAACCAGTGTCCCGTACAGTAGTACTGGATCATCATCATCATCATCATCAGCATCAGCATCAGCATCAGCATCACCAACACCAACACCATCAACATCATCAACAACATCAACAACTCCCGTGCCGCACATCCTGATGCAACCCCGTGCTTGCGCTCGTCGCTCGTCGCTGGCGCCATGGGTTTGACGCCCTCCAAGATCAGCCAGCGGCCCTCAGCGCCGTGCAAGCCGCTGAGCCTCAGCCACTTAGGCCACGGGGATCTACGGAACACTGGGAATACGCTGGTTGTAAGCATTTTAATGGGGAAACATTCGGAATTAACAGTCAACCTGTGATTTTGGATGGGAACCAATGGAAGTCAATGGGAATTCATGGGCTGCCCAGGGGACGAGTTGTTCTGCAACCTTTGTCATGTCCCTTGGCGGCCAGCCGTGCCAAAAACAAGGGCAGAACGTGTGGAAAACGGTGAATATGGGGTCCATAAACAAAAGACCATATTTCCAGGAACTACACAATTTACTGGGGAATTCCCCATTCTTTGTTGACTAGCTATCACTATCTAGACTATCTCATTTATGACTAGACCCCCATCCATTTATCACTAAGATTTTTACGATCAACATCATTCTTGTCGCATAAAAACCGCCAAGTTTTTGTCATATTCCCCCCAGAGTGCCCACCCAAAAAAAGCGGAAACATGGATATCAGTTGTTGCGAAGGTGAGGCATTTGCCGGATTGTTGGGGGTATCGCTTACCCCCATGCAATAGTGGTTAAACGATGTTTTAAAAATACTTTCTTGATTTAAAGATGTTAAAAACACTTTCTTGATTTTCAAGGACCTTAGATTTCAATTGACTGTGTTGATCAAGATGGATTCTCTGTTCGAAACAGGGAATACAATTCTGAATGACATGAAGATTTTCAAGATCCAAAAACATCTATATTGTCGGAGGATCATGGAATTAACTAGCCATGATTTTTTTAACCGACTCCCATGAATATGGCTTCCAGGGTCAAAAGCCTGGTACCGTGCCGTGAAGCCCAAGTCATAGCTGGTTGGGAGCTGCTTGGAGCCATGGATATTTATCTAGGCTCCCTATCAGTCGGGGAGCCGTGCCTGGGAGCTACGCGTTAAAAAAGTTTCCAAAGCACATGATCATGAAATGATAGCTGGGAGTATGAACTAACTTACAACAATAATATATGCTATTAATATATCATTAATATATTTATGCTATTAATATATGAAAATCTTAGAACATTATATGAACTAACTATATATATATATAATTGATGTTCTAAGATTTTAGAATATTATATGATTAAATAGCACACACACACATATATATATATATTAAATAGCTATTAATGATATCGTGGGTTGAGTACAATAGTAGGTTTGGCTGGATATTTAAGGGTGGAATCACTGGATGTCATATGGGATCTTGGGATGACGACGTAGATCGACTATCATATCATGCCTTGAGTATAGTAGTAATAAAAATACTAGAACTATATTACTCTTAATATATTTAATACTACTCTTAAGAAAACTATCCTAGTAGCTATGAATATATATATATATATTTGTTTCACTACTATTTATATAAATACGAACAGCTGTTTAATACAGTAATCTGGTTGGTGGTTTGGAACATTTGGATTATTTTCCATTTCATATATGGGATAATCCACCAACCAAAGGTCTCGGTTCAATCGGCACAGTGCCAAGGGCGCCCCCCGGTCGATCCGTAACCTTAGCGAGTGTCGCAATTTAGCTCGCGGGCACCCTTGTTTGGCCATCTTGGGTCGCCTTTTTTCGCTTCTGCAGTGTGCGAAACACTGGTTGGCCAGACTGATCTCCGCCCTGGATTTGACAAGGGGGACTTTCAGTTTTTTCTGTCCTGGTGATTGGCTGTGGTTTCAATTGATTTATTTCTTGAACCGGGCTCTTTCATTCTGGATCCATACCTCTGCAGGTGGGTTACACCTGAATCAATTTATTTGACAATTCAATTCACATTTCTTTTGCGCTTCTGCTGGTGTGCGACAACACCGGGTCATTGACACTGTGGTATTTTCCTATATGCTTCAGCTGACCTTGCTTATATTGATTTGTCAGGTTGGCGGGTTTTTCTTTGACCTTCAGGCGAAGGGCTCGGAGACACAGAGCTTTGGCTCGTCATCGCTGGTTTTTGCACAAAGCAAACATCAAGCCCTTGGACGCGCGAGCTCTGGCAGGAATTTATCAGCATTTGTCTACACATCATTCCAAGGACGTCAGGTTTTTGAGTGCCATTCGTCGATCCATTGCGATAGCTATGGCCCACCAAGATCAGTTGTTCCCCTGGCGTTGCCAGTGCGGCAGCCTCAATGCAAAGCGGGCGGTCCATTGTCCGATTTGCGCTCAGCACTGGACCTCAGGAACCCCCCATGCAACTCAGCCCAGGGCACAGGGTTCAGGCCAGAATCGACAGCAGCGCTGGCACCAGCAAGCCCCGAGGCAAGCCCAAAGCTGGAAGCAGGAGATGGAAACCAGAGAGCAGGAGCAATGGGTCAAATCCCCCCGCCGCCAATCCCCCAGGCATCGCTCGAGTTCCAACCGAGCAAAGCCAAACAAGGGCAAGGGCAAGGGAAAGCAGAAAGGTGGTTTGGTGCCCCAGGTGTCTCAGGACAATTCGGAGGTCAAGCAGCAGTCGGGACCGCCCGCTGTGTTACCCACCTATCAAGAAGCACCCTGGCTGATGGCACCCCCGCCTCCAATTCCGCCGATCACCCAGCAGGCCGATCCAAGTGCCACTGCTGCCACGGCGGCAGTAAATGCTGCCGAAGCCAAGCTGAGGTCTATGTATGCCCTACTCGAAAAACACCCCGAAGGGCTACATCCCGACATTCAGAAGGAAATGAAGGAAGTGAAACTCAAGGAAGGGGAGGTAGCGATCAAGTCGTTACACAAGCAGGTCAATGCCTTGGGAAAAGCTCGTACAGAGCTCCAACACGCCAATGCCGCAAGATTGGCATTGCATTCGTCCTGGCGTGCCTTCCTGGTCGAGCAAGTGTCCAAATGGCAGGCCTATTCCCAGCAGTTTCAACAACAGGAATCAGCGCTGGCCGAAAGAGTCTCTGCAGCGCGCACTGCGTTGGATACAGCTCGCTCCAACCTAGCAGTTTCCCGGTCACTCCTTCAGAAGGATCAGCAGCAGGAAGAGGCAGAGATTACCACCGTCAGCGACGACGAGGAGGAGTCTCGCGAATCCAAGGAAGCTGCGAATTCCAGCGCAAAGAAGATCAACGACAGTCTGCAGCACTTGGGAGAGAGTTTGCAGAAATTGAGTGCAAATGCGGACGAGATGATGATTGCGGAGCAGCAAGCCCACAAGCGTCAACGGGTCGAAGCCCCCTCGGAATCACCAGGGGTGGCTGCTATGGACGATGGTGCTCCGCATTTTCATTAGGCCGGATTGGTATGACTTCTAAGTATGCTGTCCATTGGCCGGTGTCAGTAGGCATTTTGCCTGATCCTGATGGTCTTGTTCACCAGTGGCAACACTCCATTGTGCGTGATGCTGATTTCTGCTCGGTGTGGGAAGCCGCTCACAGGGCTACAGAACTCGCATTGCAGTTTGGATGTTCCACTTTCCATCCTCCAGCCCCATGTGTCAAACAAAGTGTTCCGCGTGTTGGTCGAGCCGCTGTCACTTTCAGTCCCATGGTGGAAGTTTTGATAGGTGCAGAAGATTCAATTCGCATGGCCCAATTGCAAATGCATACAATCCCTCCAATGTTCCGCGTAGCCTTGAGACATTTCAATATCATCGTGACTTGGGTTGTCCGATTGAGTGTCTCTTTGAGGGTTTTGCTGCTTCGAGGTCTCATGGCTTGGATTCATTTGCATGTGTAGTGCAGTCAGCAGTACCTCTGCTTAGACGTTTTGCCCTTCGGTGCGTGTTCCAAGTTTGATGAATTGGATGTGTTTACGAAGATATTCATTTCCGATCCTCTTTTTCCATTTTGCTTGCATTCCTCAGTTAATTCGCAGGGTTTTGAGAGGCACGAAGATGCTTCCAATTTTGTAGACGCACATGCACAGGAGTTTGTCGACCACCTTGATGCTGCCGACCTCCGTGGCGATCCGCTGTCAGCAATGGCCGTGTTGATCCCGGAGTCATCTCAGTTGCGTCGCATCCGAACATCCCCTATGCTGGCCAGGGCACAATTGAAGGCTAAGCCCATCTTGTGTCCGCAAGCAGACGGTTCTGACGGTTCGTCTGGTTTTTCACCAGGCACACATATGGCAGGACAATCCGCCAGTCTGATGTCCCGTGCCTCCCAGCCGTTGCAGGTTCCGCCGTTCGCTTTAGACATCATTCGTTCACTGCCTGTTGAATTTCAAGCCAACCCGGTTCGCATTGTTCAAGGTGTCTTGGTTCGTTCTTGGTTGCTGCACCATGTTACTTTTCCACGATCCTTGAACCCTAGGCAGGCAGTATTGAGAGGACCTCCACACCTGTGGAGAGCCCAACTACTCCAGGCTTGGTTTGGTGACAATGTTCCGCAAGAGGAAATCTCCATTGACCTGGTTGTACCGTCCCCCCCACGAAATTGGCATGAGACCCACCTGCTGTTCGATGTGATTTTGGCACAAGGTGTTGCTTCAGGACGCAAATCATGTCTTGTTACGATTTCACCCACCTTCCAGCATCCAGCCATTCACATGTACTCCACAGCAGTATCCTTTGCGCAGGTTATCAGTGGACAAGATGTTGTGACCGACTCTGATATTCAAGACTTGTGCAATTTGCATGACTGCTTGATTTTTCAGGACCAAGTGTTTCTGCCCATTGATTTTACCCGCAATTTTCCTGTCCAGCCTGGAGCCGGATTTGTGGTCTACGTAAACACGAGGCAGGACACCGCAGCCACTGCAATTGAGCAGCCTACCGAAGTTTTGGATCCTGCCCCTGAACCGGATCAACCTGATGCTGAAATGACCGACCAGGTGCAACAAGGCAGTGCTGCCTCCACTCAGCACTCCCCTGCTGTCACTGCTAGTCGAGGGTTAGATGTTACACCTCGACGTCGCATCACGTTGTATCGTCTCAATCGTGTCCCAGTCGTCGCTTGGGTTCGTCTCTCGAGATTCTCAATGCTGCTTCAGGACATTTTGGAGATCATGGCCATCCCACCCGATGAGTTAGTTGCGGTTCATCGCATTCATGCCAAGCCGGTAGGAGAGCCCAAACATGAAACCAGTTTCATTGTGCAGCATCAGGGAGATGTCCAACCGGGATCGGCGGATCAATTAATCCTGTTGGATGTTGCGTTCCATCAGCATGGCTCGGCTACGTACCCAATCGCGCCTGTTCATTTTGACCGTCGAGTGTTGCGTATCCCTTCTGTTGCCACCAGGC